ATGCGTAATAGAAAAGTTGTGGTCCATTGAAATACGTGATTAAAATTAAATGTTGACTTTGACGTCAACATTTCAACAACCTTTTAAGCTTTCCTGATCAAGCACTATATATGCTTCCAGGATGTAGAAGTTCAATATTTTGAGCTTTATTGTCATACATATCCCCATCAGTACACAAAAGATCAATACAATCATCTGAAAATGCCACTTGACCAACATTTATAGAGGCGATGCATTTGATACAGTTAGTATGTATAGTTACCTCAACTGGCCTCCTGAGTCTTCCAATTCTTCCAGTGATATTCAACACCTTCAATGCAGATATTGCAGTAATGATTCCCAGTGCACCATCATACATTCCAGCATCAATAACAGTGTCCTGTTTGAGACAAAGAGCCGATAACTTGAGTCTGCCTGATATAAGTAGCTCATACAGGAAATTATAATACTTTAGTATAAAAACATAAGTACTGTAATTGCTTCACCAAATGAGAGCCAATTAACAAAGCCTTCTCACTTGGATTCATCCCTTCAATTCTACCATGCACGTTGCCCATTTGGTCCAACCACCTGAAAAGGAGGCAACATCAGCAGAGGTTTTTGAACATTGTTAAAAAAAGAAGTAAATTTGACAGCTCACGTCCTCAAACCAGCATCCTCCATCCACTCCTGAATAAGGTTTCCTGCTCTGACAGAAGCTGGGCTTTGGAAAGTTCTCTCGAGAAATCCATGTGCATCACTTACCTGCAAAGTCAGTATTAAAACTTAAGTTTCAGCAAGTAAAACAACAAAATTAGAGAAGTTCTAGTTTAATATTATGTCACCTATTAAGTTTTGCCAGTCGGTGAGAATTCACATTCAACTTTACTTGCACAACAAAAATAACGCTCAATTATGTACCTTGCCAAGATCAATAAGTCTGGTCACCGCCTCATCTTTCAGGATTTCTGGATACAAATATTTTGTGCCTTCTGTATGTTCAATGCACAATGAGGTTAAGCGCCCACACATCTTAAAAATTGGATGAAACAATAGAGTCTAACAAATACAACACCACCAAAAAACAGTGATATTCTCACACTAATTGATAATGCACCGCATGATAGAAAAATGAGGCCCCTCCTGCTTAATGACAGGAGACAAAGAACAATATTTTACTCAAAACTGCAATTGTAACTTCCATATTTTTCTGGATAGATCAAAGGCAACTCGATATAAGGAGGAAAAGGGGAAAATTACAGGCTATAATTGTGAAAAATTGATTATAGCAGCAGTTAAGTTTTACAAGATTGGTACCTTGAAATTCAAATGTAGACATAAAATGAAATTTCTTCAATCTGAACAACCAAAAAGAACCCTCTCCTCTCTTCTTGAATTAAAATAAACTACAGGAACTAAAGCTCACATTTGTGTAGAGGAATTCTAAACGTGCTAAAAAGGGAACAAAGAAAATCTAAAAATCCTTTAACCCACACATTGATGTAATAAAAAAAAATAAAATTACCAGAAAATGTATTTGTTTCGGCCAAGGTTTGTGGTAGAGCGAGGAGTTGGATAAAGAAAGATAAGATTAACAAAGCGACAGCGTTTGTGGGCATGGTATTATGGGTATTGAAAAATATATGATTTGGAGAAAAATACGCCATGGAAAGCAAGCTTGTTAATGTAGATGGAAAGTAGAAAAACAAACAAGCAAGCAAACCAGGGTACGCAAGTGTGATATGCTAGTTTCGAGCAATAAGAAGGTGGTGGCGTCTGAGGTCATGGCGGCCGAGAGGTTGTGGCCCCCGAGAGACGAGAGTTGCCAGTAGGGCCCACACCAATGCATGAAGCCCATTAAAATTTTTCCACTTCTAACAATGCATTATGCACGTGAATTCTTGGTTGTCATTGTTCTACAAAGTTCGTCTAAATTTGATAACAGTAAAAAATTCAATTTTCATAGTCATTACTGAATAGATGTTTAGTCATTTTTTATCATTATTTGAATGAGTTTTTTATTTTTTATTTTTTTGAGAGTGTATGGTTAGACAGTAGGAATAAATTTTCAATTTACGTGTATAATATTTTATTACGTAAATGTGTGGTTGAAAAT